GGAGTTTATCACACGGGAAAATCCAGTTGATGAATTGCTTCTGCTTTTGCGGGGTTTTTCCAATTTAAAGCAGCGTTTCTGCACGGGACTCCCCGTGTGATAAACTCCTAAGGGGGGCTGCAGACGGATGGCTCTGGCCCGCCCCAGGAAGCAGCGGATCAGGGCCACAGCTACCCAATGATGTGGCCCCGATCCTCCCTTTTGCCTCCCCAAACAGAGTGGCAAAATGCTGCTCCTTTCAGGGGCGGCAAAAGGGTGTCCTAAGAGCCGGCGTGTGGCTCTTCCTCGCCCCTTGTGGCACAGCATGGCAGGACACTGCTCTGAGAGGATGTCCTGATGCCATACGTCGTGCATATTGGCGTTGGCGACAGGACAACGTCAGCGTGGGGTTGGGGCGACCAGCGTGTGGCCACCCTGCCCCATCTCTGTCTCCAGGTCAGCCCTTTGGGCCAGTCTGCAGGGGCCCTTACTGAGTAAAAGAGGTTGTAGCATAAGCTTTCATAAACTAGGTCTACTTCCTCAGATGGATGCAGTGAACTGGTGCCCAGAAAGGACCTTTATAATCAAACTGTATAAATAGCCATAGAATTGTAACACATGTGGCTATGAGGAGGAGGAGACAAGTATGCTTCCCTAAAGCATAAAATACAGTTTTGAAATTGTCATTAATTGGGGCAACTACTATAGTAATTAAATTGACTGTTTTGTAAGTTAAAACCTTGTTTCTATTTTTACCATAGTTTTTAATAATATTGTTATTTAAATTATTTTGTAACATTTGAAAAATAGGATTTTAATTTTTTCTTGATTAAAATTTCTGGGAGAACAGTGGGGTATACATTCAATAAATATATAAAATAAATTTTAAAAAAATTCTATATCTTTCCTTTTTCCAGTCATGATGAGACCCTGGCAGCTCTGCATGGTTTTTCTGGGATGCACTGTGTTCCTCCCAACAGTTGCAAGTAAGTGCCCTGAAATGGAACTGCATATTAAGATTAATTCTAATAGAAAGTGCTGGTGTTGCCCTTAAAAACCCCTCAGAGTATGGGACTTTGGTAGTTGATGGATTGCCTCTTTTCCATATTTAATTATCTGACTCTAAGGTTGTTGCCACACTGCAGAAATAAAACTGTTTGACACCACTTTAATGGTCATGGATCTGTGCTATGGAATCCTGAGATTTGTAGTTTGTTGTGGCACCAGAGCTCATTGCCAGGAAAGGCTAAATATCTAGAAAAATTACAAATCCTAGAATTCCATAGCATTGAGCTATGGCAGTTAAAGCAGTGTCAAACTGCATTAATTCTGCAATGTAGATACAGTCTGAGATCTTCATCTCTAGATCAGTGTGATGTCTGGAAGGTGAATTCCAAAGAGAGGGCCTTTTCAGTGGTGGCACTGTGCTTAGGGAAGATCTTTTGCTAGACTGGTCTGCCAGGAGCCTATTCTGATTTTGTAATTCCAAAGACATTTCTGTTTTTTTCAAGTCTGCCTTTCAGAACTGATGCAATGTTTGAACCTTTGCAAGATTTTATTCTGTGACTCTTTTCTTCAATGTTGTTTTAATATACAGTGAGCCCTTGGTATCTGCTGGGGTTTGGTTCCAAA